AGGAACACTAATACACAAGTGCTCCAAAATAAAAACACATCTAGGAGAACTATGGATTTTCTTTCATTTTTTTTTATTAAAATGAATCTGGGTAATATATCATGTTTCCATGCATTTTGCATGTTTTACTTTGTCATATAGTAAAAATTCTGTTTATTACGCTTATTTTTCCTCCAAGACCAGTCATAATGATGGAATGTTATTTTAGACTTTCTTAGATTTCTGTTTTCCTCTGATAGATATGCATATCAATATGAATGATGTTAAAAAAAGATCATATTTAGACTAGGGCTACAAGTAACGATTATTTTGCAAATCGATAAATTTATTGATAGTTTTATCGATGCATCAATTAATTATCGGACAGCCAGAGGTTTTTTTTTTTTTATTAAACCAGGTGAAAGACCACTTGAAGAGTTCTGGATGGGGCATGACGGACAAAAATTTTTTTTTTTTTTCTTAAATGCAAAAATTTTTTTTGGGTGTTTTTATTGTTATTTTTTTTTTTACAATTTTAATATAACTACTGCTCTAACTGGCTAGCTCTGTTAGCTAAAGGCATGTCTAAGAGTATGTAACTCCAGTTAACGATTAATCAATAAATTAGTTGACGATTTTTTTTCAATAATCAATTAATCACATCACGATTAATCCCATTAATTCTTTCAGCCCTCATTTAGACTTCATTGGTCCATACTGAATGCGTTCAGGGCTACACCTGGTTGATATGGTTGGTGAGGGTGTGGGACCGCTGTTGAAGTACTGGCTCCCAATTCACAGCTGATCGTTTCCAGCCCCATTTGTTTTTTAGGTCTTCAAAGGACCCGGCTTACATGGCAGGGTTTTCACCAGGGTTTTTTAAGAGCGTAGTGGGGGTAATGATGTGGTCACTTAAATTGCATATTATAGGTACATCAACATTAAAAAGGCAGAAAGTGATTTAAGATACTCCAAATACATTTAGAAACTCAAGATAAGCTTTATAAAAGATTCTCTAGCGTTCCAGAAGATTAATTTAACCTGACTGAAACAAAATGTATTTTATGTTGACCATTTCAACTTAAAGACAGTAAACAGAGGCCCACAGTGGCACATATTAATTCAGGGGAGATCAGGGAAAGCTTTTGTGTGGCTCACATTTAAGAGTCGCTCTGCTCTCTGACTGCAGCTGCAGTGTTTTGGAGGAGGGAGGGGCTTGCTCACTCACTACTCGCTGAAGACACTAAACTCTGAGTTATCGGGGCATGTGTTGTCAAAAAAAATCTACAAAAAGACAGGAAATAGTCACTAGATTTTCTTGCTAGTCTGAAAAGTCACTAAATATAGCAACAAAGTTGCTGGGTTGGCAACATCTGCCTTGTGACCTGATTGCAGTCTGGCGCAGGGTTCACGTTTTCACAGTGCTTCCCTCATGTTCTTGTCCCAATGAGGTAAATGTTTTTATTCTTTTAACATTTTCTCTGGCATTGCTGTCATTAAATGTCCAGGTAGGTACCTATTTTAATTGTAGTATTAATGTGACAAGCACTGAGGAGGGAGCTTTTCCCCCTAAAGCTTGCTCTTTGCTGTCGGGGCTACAGAGTGTTTATCTGCCTCTGTGAGCCGATAGCAGTCTTAACAATGCTGGATATACGTTCTCACAGAACTTCTCTCATTTATCTGAAAATAAGGAAGTAAATGGGTGCACACTCCTTACCGCATTAAGTGTCCCTGCTGGAAATTTGGAAGGCAGCAGTGGTGTCTTGTAACTGGTTCCTGGAGTATTTTCCCCATACAAATTTACGATTTGACTTTCTGGAAATTCCTTTTTTTTTTTCCATAACAAAAGACGAAGGGATATCGTATTTAAATTAAGCCTGACTTATTTTAGAAGAAAAACACTGATGATAGGGCTAAAATATGTGCTCCTATTTTTTTCCCCCCTTCTCCTCATACATATCTATTTTTAGGCACAAATGTAAATAAAACGCCCACACTGCATTAGAGAATCTAAATGGACTAAGCAACACCCAATGGTTAAAAGAGATGTGTCTCTTTAATAAAATAATTTTTGAAAAAAAATTAAACCATGGGATTATTTTATCCATTGGACAAATTTGCAGTTTATCTGAGTGAAAAGCTTGTAATTTTTTTGGCAATATTTTTGCAATAAAAAAAAAATCTAATGCTTTTTAAACTTTAAACACATCTTTAGCGCTGTTGCACCATGTCAGAAAGTCTTGCAATTAGGAGGACGATAAATATTGCCTTGAAGTTATCAGGTTTAACAGACGCATGTTTCCTTTTTTACACTCTTTCATCTCAACCCAATACACACTGAGACCTTTAACACTTTGGGCATCGGACATTGGCAAGAAAAACCTTGGAATACATCAAACATTTCTTGCACTTAAAACAGTGCTTTGTGATATCTACACTGTTTCAGGTTTCTATTGAGCTGTGTGATAAAACGTTAGAGTGTTCAGTGGTCCTTTTCAACACACTTGGCAAAGCAAAAGGCAATACAGTAATATGCAATTAGGCCAATATCTCATGGATCTCATTCAACACAAAGAAAACGGTTGAAATTTCACTTTTGTAAAACAGGAAAGAAAATGTATTTAAAAGATTCTTCTGTTCACATACCTCATCTACAAAAATGTGAGAGTACCCTGTGAGAGACTTGGCTTGCACCAGCTTTTGCAGCAGAACCCCTGTGGTCATGTAAATTAGCCGAGTGTGTTCAGTAGTCATTTTCTCCAGTCCAATCTGAAAAACACAGTCATATCTATAAACACCATAATCCATAAAAATATTTTTGTGAACATTCCATTTCATACATAAAAAAAAAAAGAGAAACCTTTATTCTCTCATGTTGACAAAAATAAGATTAGATTTTGTTAAAGTACTACGGAGTTTTACAACTCACTAAAATAAAGATGCATTAACCAACTCTTCCTTAATGAAAATGCATTTGGTTGTCCTTAAGTCACTTCATAATTATAATTTGGTGCAATTTTTTTAGAAACATTTTCCATAATGCATTAGTTTGTCTAAACATCTTGGCTAATGTTTGTAGATACTTCCATGTTACATCATCATATTACTTATAATGCAATTGTTTTAGTCGGGTGCACCAGTTCCACATGCAGTTGTGACGGTATTTTCAGGCTCATTGCCCTCCTTCTGACTACTCAGATGTAAGGATGACCATTGTGCAAAAACACTTCGTAGTTTCTTTAGATACACTACGCTACATATATACTAAAACTTAAAAGGTCTTTGTCCACATGTGTATTAGTAGGTGCAAAATAATCTGACTTTCTATGTTGCTAATAGATAACAGCTTCTTACTCATGGTATGGCCTTTAGCACATATCTGTAGCGGAAAATCTTACTACCTGTTATTGACAATTGACTTTTTGTACTTCCTGAGCAGCATTGCAACTGGACATTCCCATGCTTGTTATATTTGAAATAATTGCTTGAAAGGATGAATTTCATACTTTGAGCTATTTGGACATGAATAAATATGACCAGTGATATCATGGACAATTTATTTTTCTTATTTTCAGTGTGGAATGGAGAGAACGTGACGCTCTCCAAACTGGTTTAAGAAATAGCTATCACCTAATAAGCATCCTGCTAAATCTAAAGTTCAAAGAAACATATAAATGCAAATAGTCTTGGGTTTAGGCAATACAATTAATTCTGTAAACCCCAATTGGACCCAAACAGGAAGGTTTGTCTGATTAAATATCAGAAAAAAAAGTTATGTGAATTTATATAGTAAGTATTTCACTTCAACTCTATCAAATAATGACAAACAACAATTGCTGCTGAAGCATGAAGTCAGAAAATAAGAAAGTTACATCTTATTTGAGCAGAGACTGTTTGTCTCCCACTGACAGTGACATCATCCTCAACTGCAGAGGGCTGATTCAAGCGGAGGAGAACAAAGTTATTTTAAGCCACAGCGCTTCTGTGCTGTGCACAACACAGTTACAGGTCATGGCAACAAAGCACATGCAAAAAGATAAAAACTGCTTATTAGCAAAAAAAACTGATGCAAAAAAAGCTTTCTGAATAATTTGTCAATACTTAAACTTGGCCATAAAAATATTTTTCCCCATTTAAACTTATTTCTTTAAAGATAATTTTATTGCATTCTAATCTAATTCTAATTCTATTCCTGGAAAACTTAAAAGCCTACTTTAAATACCGCATTTTCCAGACAATAGAGCGCGCCTCAGTATAAGCCACGCCTGCAAAATCTGTTTTGAAAAATGATTGTACATATACAAGCCGCACAGGGCTATAAGCCGCTGATATCTACTGAACTGTCTCTCACAAAACCTGTAGAGGGAGCTCTACATATAGCCTCTAGAGTAGGGACTAAGAAGAATGCTAGCTCCCGTTAGCTTGTTGGCTCTTAGCAGTAAGAGCTTTTACTGAAAGATGGGGATTTGTTGGCGCTTTATTTCTGCTCTGTAGGACTTGAGCCCAGTCTCTCCATTGGTTCGGCTGATTTAATGCGGCAAATAAATGTCAAAATTTATAAATTAAATAAAAAAAATTTGCTCCTTATTCTTTCACTGTGACACACTGCTGCAAGAGTATAACCAGGAAGCGAGGTAGGAGGACAAAATAGGTTTAGCGCCACCGCAGCACAGGAGCGAGAATTACGTCCAGGAGCAAATGGATAAAAATAGACCGGAGGAAAAAAAAAAAAACATGAATCGATACTCTTGCGGACGTATCGATGCATCGGATCATCGGCTGTTGGATCGATGCATCGATACAAAACGATTATTATTTACACCCCTATTGGAAGTCCTTTAGGGCAGACATCTGAAGAAGAAATATTTAGTGCAGTTAAATCTTAGATAGAACATGAATCAAGAATAGTGGAAATGAAATGAATGATTTAGTGATGGAAAAGGTTGTTAAATATGTAGTTCAGTTAACCAGAAAGAGACAGACGTCCTGCCAGCTCCAGAATTAGAGGAAGCATCGCAAGTACTGCTTTTTCAATACGAAATTTCCAGCACCAGCTATTTCATATGTTGCTGGAGGAACTCCAAAAAATCCTGTAAGGCCAACTGCAGAGGGAATTTAAGGAAGAAAAACAAAAGCATCCGAATCTTCTAACTAAATAAAAACAGGACCAAGTTTAAACATAAAACTATGGTGGTGAAGGACACAGGTTGTTGTGATTAAACACAAGCTTCTGAAAAATATTCTGCCATGTCGTACATAATAAAATCTAAACTTTGTGAGACCGTAATAATTAGGGGATTCGTATTTTCATTAATAGCAGATGTTACAGGTTAAAACCATGAGATTTTTTAAGCTAAGATTTGTGAGAGAATTACTTTTTGTGTTCTCAGCTATAATCTAGGTGTTCTTAGCAAAATAAAAAAATGGTTTGGGAAATGAGAATCAAATCCATCTTTTACCTCAGTCTGTTGTAGCAGCCTGTCTGATGTCAAACTAAACAAACAATCTAAAAATAAATGACTTTTTGGAAACAATACCCTAGTTTACTAATGTTTGCAGTTTCTGGACTATTGATAAATCATAAAAAGGTCAAATGACTAAACCAAAACCCTTACTTTCAATGCTCGTAACCAAAATAAACCTTAAACCTTATCAGCAAGATGTAGGAATGCATGTTTTCTCTGTTTCTTTAGTTATTTTACAGATGTAAATGTGAGCAAATCTTATAACAGTAATAAATGTTTTTAACCATCAAATAAGTTGCACCAACAAATTTTATAAAGGTATTTGGGTGGAATGTGCAAACATGATGTCAAACACTAAAATCACTGCCAAGTTAATGTACTGACCTGATATCCCACCTGACTACCCAGGGTGCACTTCCTCTGTGCAGCAACCCAACGAGCAATACTGGTAGCTCCAATCTTGCGTGGCTGAGTAACCACAATGTTACATGTCACATTTTTCTCATTGTAGTGGTCCAAAATGAACTGAGGAAGCTGAGTGGTCTTCCCACTGCCTGTGGCTCCTCGGATGATCACAACAGAGTTGTTTTCTATGAAGGAAATCAGCTGGAAGCAGAGCATTCAGATGACAAACCTTAGATGTATAATGCATCATGTCACTGCAAATAAAACAATTTATGATATTGGTAATAACGGTAAATGATGAAACAGATGGAGTGGAGAGATTATCAGTATATTAGCATTAACAAATTAACGGAATCGGACCAAATAAATGTTAACATCTCGGTATCAGTTGGATAGAGACATAAATGACAGAAATTACTTCTATTCACTTCTTTGTTGTGGTTTTTGTGTTTTTAGAGTGGGGAAGGGCAGGGGATGGGCCATATAACAGTGCTAAATTTCAAAACAAATACTTTTTTTTTTTCAAACTAAGTTTTTTTTTATTTTGTTATGCAGTTTTTATTTAGTAAATGTGTAGTTTTCTTTAGGATATTAAGGTTCTTTAATGAAAACTAATAAAAATCCTTTATATAAAATACTCCCATTATGTGGTAGTCCTTTGGAGATGTAACTGTAAAAGTAATGCAGTGCAGGATGATAGGAAGCAGAGAAGCAATGTCAGCGATGTGGTAGTTTTGTTTTTTTCGTCAAGCAGAAAATCAGTTTTTAGCCGTAACTGCAAAGACATCTGATATCAGCCCAATTTTTCATATCTCTGCATCCCTAATAAATGTTCTATGCCACTTTATAGACATATGGTAAATTTAAACTATATTAGAAAGGTGAACAGAGTCCAGAATTGAATAACAGCCGTAGCTTTAAAGATATTCACTGACGGGACCAATGGGTTCCTATTGTAAAGCAGATAAAAATAACATCCAGGCTTAGTGATGCTGTGTCCAGAGGACATAATGTCAATTTAAGTAAAACTCGACAAGCACCCAAAGAACTACAGGAGGAAAATGCATCAGTGTGTGGTAAACTGCCTTACTTCGCTCTTTTTTTTGGTAATGGGCAAGCCTGGGGATTCAACACTGTGGGAAGGAGAAAGTGGAGCAGGACCTAAACATTCAGGGTTTATAAAAAGTGAAAAAAAAAAATTAAATAGGTGAATTTGGTTCAATGTAGACTTTATGATGATGAAATTAAATATCTTTAAAAAGCTGTAACAGAAAATGTACTCACCTTCTGAAGGTTGTGGTTTTTGGATCCTTCCAGCATCAACTTTCTGGCTGGAATCTTTGAGTGTTGCTGGGCTGAGAAATATAAAATAAGCAGTTATACATTCCTATTCGCAGCATCTATTCTCATCTCCAAATTATGTGATAAATAGAGAAGAAAAAAAGTATGTCATTTTTTTCCTAAGACTTAAGTTTTTTCTGAAATGTAAACAGAATGTAAGAAAGTAAAATCTTTATATAGCAGCTTTCAAGGATATAAAACCCAAATTCCTTCATATTTGATTGAAGGAAAAGTAGAGACAGCCAATAAAGAGCATCAACTTTTGATTGTGTTTGTTTTCTGGACTGCAAATCTGCACGCTAACCAGGCTTTTAGCTATCAATACATATGGGCAAACATTGTACGCCCTTAAGTATAAACCATTAGAAATTGTACGCCCTGTTTTTGGAATGTACGGCTTTGGTGCTCCCTAATTTTCTCCCAGAAAATTTGCTCATATGTTCAAAAGTCCACAAGCAGCAGATGCAAGGGATGGAAAAATGTTATTTTTGCTGCTCAGGGAGATAGACACAGCGCAGCTGATGCAGAGCGATATGATCACTCAACTGAAACAGTTTCTTAACACTTAAATCGGGCTTTTAGCTAGCAATGCGCAAGGCCTTACATTGGACCACAATTACTAAAAAAGGACAAATTGTGGGCCCTGTTTTTCCCTAGGAAAGGAAGCTACTTTTACCCACTTAGCACAGCAAATATAGCAAAGCCATTCTAAACCATTGAACACAGAAGCAGCAAACGCATTAGACGCATCTGTACACACTTCACTGGAGCCTCAAAGATGCTCTTCAGGTGCATCTGATCTTTATGAGTACAAGCATCCACAATTAAGCAAAAAAGAAGCTCAAAGTGCGTGTGGTGTGAATGTAGCTCTAGCATTACACTTTCTGATTGTTTGAAATAACCTATGAAACATGATATTGTACCAAAAAAATTATCAAATCTTCTTTATGAAATTTCCACCTCTAGTCAAGCACACATAGTCAGGACAAAATTAGTGTTGTAAAAAAAGACAAAAAGTTAACTGCGTTCCACCTCAAAATGCAGGAAATAGCGTTTCAGGGGGAGGATACCCCAGATGCCCCTACGCCAAGCAAAGCCTAAAGATGTGATACACCAAGGTGTAGACCCCATGAAATATTCCTAGCTAAAAGCCTGATGCCACCTGTACTATCTGAAGATGTAGAAATAAAGAAAACAGCTTTAATCCCTACTGATGCATCGTAACATTTAGTGCAGAACTAAATGAGCAGGTTTTATGTTAAACTTCTAAATATTTCTCAGTGGTTAAAACAATACATGGTACACATTACTCTGGTTATGGAACCAAGACTATATCACTGATAGACATAATTTCCAACAGTTTTTTTGGTTTTTTTAAGTTTCATATTATCTAATTTTACCGGTACTTCAGGATTTGTTCTCGTCAGAAACTGATGCAGATATTTTCTGCAAAGCAAAACAAAATCTGCATGTGTAGGAGAGAGGGTCATTATGTAACGAATTATTTTAGATACTACTGCTGCGACAACTACAAATAAAACTCTGATAAGAGTTATACTGCAGCAAAGCTGGTAATGCATCTGCTTTTGTTTTCTGTGACCATTTAGAGTTTGTAAACATTTTTAAATACATTATAAAAAGTCTTTGTAATCAATAACGAGTAATGAGTGAAAACATGTGACACCACATGATAAAAATCAATTAAAATGTTAATATCTTTCTGCTCTGAGTGATGATAACACACCTCAGATAAATACCTAGAAGATAAAAATGCTTAAAAAAAACAAAAAACAAAAAAGGTTTTATTGAAAGTATGGCTTGAAATATGTTAGCTGCAGTTTCCAAAAGACTTTACAAACTCTTTGCACTGTAATACAGTTTCCAAACATTTGCTTTTGCATATTTTAAAAGGTGATACTGCAACAGTGAAACACACTGTGTGAACCTGATAACCCTAATACTTTTAAACAGTTATGGCCGTAAATCTACATGTTCCATCGTTACAATTAGACAAATGATTTAAACTTTTATTTAGGGCTGAAACATTTAATTGGATTAATCTATTATTGAAATGATCAACTAATTTAGTAACTGGAGTACAGACTGAGAGAGCAACCCACTTAGAGCAGCAATTGTACCAAAATTGTAAAAACAAATGAGTAAACGAAATACTTTTCGTCTGTCAATATGCTCTATCCAGAACTCTTCAAGTTAAATAATTTTGGTTTAATTTCTTAAAAAGTCTTTGTTAAGGAAACTTTCACTATCCGATTATTAATCGAAAAAATAATAGACAGATTAACCAATTTGCAAAATTATTGTTAGTTGCACTCCTACTTTTATTTAAATAAAAATTAAATTGTGAACTTTTTGTAATAAAAATAATGTTTTTACTATATATTTTGGTGCATTTACAATAGCCTTACAAAAGAAATCCCCCAAACCTACCCCTATTTTTGATCAAATAAGTTATTATACAAAACTCTTGTATTAGGCAGAACAAGTGTACAGAAGTCTATTTTTTTTTAAAACATGAAACAGTGTGACCTAGCTAATGCATTATTTACCATAATAGCTGCTTTGCTCCAACTCTGTGTCCTGTTATTCTTCTAAATTTCTGTCTCATAAGTTCAACCAGGCCTTCAGCTCTCAAGCCTGAGGAACAGATCCACAGATGTGTGTGTGTGTGTGTGTTTGTGTGTGCGCGCATCTTGAACTCTGAGAAGAGGATTTTAATACAAAAGCAGACAGTGCCTTCTTACAGCACTGAGAGAGGGCTTTAAACAAATACACCCACTGCTTGTGAGCGCACATGCACTCTCATCCTCTTTCTCTCCACTGCAAACATATCGTGGAAGCTACAAAACAGCTGACCTTACAGCAAAGCTGCACACAGCGGAGAGACGAATGAGGTGAAAGGATAGCAGAGGTGACAGCTCTTAGACTGTTGGCAGCATGTGACTAACTCTCACCGACAAAGTCTGTGTGGCAGGAACAGTGGGAGGACAAGACAATCACCGCAGAGGAAAAATAAAAAAAACAACAAGAGGAGAACAGAGTCAAGCCAGCAGAGGACTGCAGCCGAAACTAAACCATTGCCACCAAGGAACGTAAGGGACAGTTATCAAAAAGGTAAACTTTGCAACAGTAAATCCAAAGAAGGGAAAGGCGGAAGGTGAACCATGTGAAAACATCTCTGCCAGGTCTCCCAACAGCTTGCAGCAGTGTCAGCAGAGCAGTTTTGTTAAGCCAGTGAGTACAAATTTATTTTCTTTAATATTCAAATCTTATGTGCATGCTTCAATTCCTTTTTGGGAAAGCAAAAACTAAATCAGAGGCTTTTAAGGCTCTGTTGTGCAAATACCAATATATACATTTTTGAAGAGGCTGACCTTGAAAAAATGTACAGGCTGTAAAAATTAAATGGCAAGTGAAAAAGAGCCAAATAAAAAAAATTTGGGCCATAGTCCCAAGCCCAGTTTGAGTTGATGTAGAAAAACGGTCACCGTATTTAGAACACAAATTTTATTTTGTGGGGAGATCACCTGTGATCAATGTTATAAATTATCTAAGTTCAGCTAAAAAACACTTGTATATCACTTGCTGCACATTATTGTTCCAATCTTATGGTTTTAAGATAAAAAGCATGACCCAGTTTAAGAAATGTGGCTGCATGGTATTTTGTGATTTATACTTTTGAGTTTTTCCTCACAAATAGGCTAAAATGCTCCTTTATTAGTTTCAATTAGATGTACCTTAAGAACAGATATTCTAAAATATTTATGAGAAACTTTTTTATTGTAAAACCATTTTGTATTTAAGTCATTTTTATTCTTATTTGTTCAGTTTTTAGGGCCTACTCTCAGAAAGAGCAATGCCTCTGTTCAGCTGGATGAAGTGGTTGCATCAAACGAAAGCGCAGACTGAAGAATCTCTGAACAGAACAGAGGTCGTGCCCAGTCATATGCTGCTCGCAGAGCTCCTTTGGCACATAGAGGAGCGAGAACGTCTGGCCAGACAACTGGAGCGAGAGAACAGGCTGGCCCACAGTGCCCTGGGTCTCCGCTGGTTTCAGAAACACCCAAGGCTACAAACACTACTCTCGTCGTCAGAGCTACACCAGCTAGAGTTCCTCTGTTCTCAGGTTCCCCAGATCCACACAGCAACAGTCATCTCCAGGTGTTTACAAGCTCAACATATTCTGATGTCAACAATTTCCAGTTTCAACTAACCCAGGGCCAAAAATAAAGCACACGTGTGAAAAGGAAAACGTCTCTGCAAGATTAGGGTAGCCTGTAACTAAGGTTTCCCCCTCAGCTACTATATAGAAAAAGAAATAAAATATCTGCGGAGCCCATGGCTGAGCAGCACTGTGACCTACTTACTTATCGCACAAAAACCTTACAGCTAGGTCATTAATGTGCACTTATATAACCAAAACACTACAGAAGAGCACAGACTGAAATGTGGGGGTATGTTTGGGACATTCTTTTTACTCTGTCACATTTTAAACAGGCCATTCCTCAAATTACAAGAAAAGCAGGCAAAACCTTTGACACTTTTAAACAAACAAAAGAATTCAAGCAGTATTAAATTCTTGAATTAAGTCAGGAAACAATTGTACCGGTTTATAACTTTACCAATATATTATTCAACAGGTTTCGTGAAGTTCTTGGTACCAACGACGTACGGCCCTGGGAGCTGGCGTCTGTCTTCAAGCACATTCTGATAGACTTCCTCAACCAAAGAGAATATAGTGAAGAAGACAGCCTGTCAATGGCGGTTTGGAGAAGCCAGTGCGAGCGGCAGTGCTTTGTCACTCCCATTACACCCCAGTGGGGAGGTCAACAGAGGGAAGAGATCCCAACAGTTTCTGGATATGTGGATCGAGCCATGAGGCACTCAACTTCATTCACGCCCAGCGGGGTCTGGGATCTTCCGTATTACTACCCCGGGCCTCGACGACCCAAAGGAGAGAGCACAACACTGTGAGGGGACACACCTCTTCACAGCTTTGACTGCTACATAAGTAAACTGTGGCATGGAGACAGAGTTCCATTTATAGCATTACTTAACAAAATGTGAAAACATCCTATAAAATACTGAGGATGAACCCTGAATATATTCCTCATTGAATGACTGGTTTAAACACAAATGAAAAAAAAAAACAAGTATTGTTCCTGGTGTCTGTAGCAGTCCTGTACTACCTGAGAATACACACTTTTCTTTATTTTTATTTATTTATTTATTTTATCTTTATTGATTCTCAGGAAATTATAATTCACATAGGCCTGTGCTTCACTGAATTAACTCCATTTGAAATAAAGTGAACAAGTAAGGCATTGCATTATAGCAATCCAAACAAAGCAGTGATTTCACTTCCCTGGGAAGGACTATGAAACAAGAAGAAATAAAAAGAGAACAAGAACAAAAACTAAAAAGGAAACACAACAATGAAAAAACTTAATAAAATTTTACATATTAGGAGAGTGGATTGGTGAGGAGATTCAATCAAGTTTGGTGTCTAAAATTGAAATCAGATTTTTTAAGTTTTACATAGTCTACCTAAATCTGCCACCGCTGACAGAATTGCTAATTCTTGTGATTGGGAGAGGGTGTCATTTTTTCCGTGTTATATATATTAAATGTTATTTCCAGTCATCTAAAGTTAGTTTGTCCTGTGATAACCATTCTCTTGTAATGTTTTTCTTACTTGCTGCGAATAAAATATTCATTAAAAATGTATTTCTTTTTGAGGCTTCTTGAGGAAATACTGTATACCAAAATACATAAGCTTGATCTACAATGGAATGTTCTGTTTGAAAATATCTTGTAAGGCACTGATGAAGGTTCTCAGTCATCCAGGTCAAAGTAATTCCGTAAAAATTCAAAAAATATCCACTGGACTTGGTTTTCAAGATTTCAAATCTTGAAAACCAAGTCCAGTGGATATTTTTTGAATTTTTACGGAAATCTTGTAAGGCATTATTTATCTCTTTCCGGTAATCTTTTATAATTGGGCATTCCCAGAAGACATGATAATGTTTGCATTTTAATTTCTTCATTTCCTCCAAGATACAGGGGGATTTCTATCAAGTATACACACTTTTCTAGGGTAAAAATTGTTTAGATTTACAGCTTTTATTTCAAGGTCAATCAAGAGATGACTTCTCAAACATGCCTGTATTATAAAATTCTAGAACATAGATGCATTCTTAATTTATTTGTAATATACCTGATTTTTTGGTGAATGCGCATGTTTTCTTTAAAGTTATAACAGGAGGGAAAAGGCTTCATAAAAATTCAACGAAGGGATTGCTTAAACCTTTGGCCGACAGGGGGCAGTGGTGGTCTGACAACCTAATATTTAAAAAAAGGTTCCGGTGGCCATAGCTGCCCACCATGTGGCTAGCTAGTTTATACCAGTTATCTTCGCTTTTACCCAAATACGCAGAATAAAAAAAAATAAAAATTTACTAGATTCGCCTCTTTTTATAGCAACTATTGTGTACAAAATTAAGTAGAGGGCCTTTTTAAGGCTTTTTCTTTAAGCGAAAAGATGACATCTCTTACCATCAACGGTTTACAAGCAACGAGATATATTTGCATTAAACTGGATTTCAAGGTTAAATAAATTTAAAATACAATTTAACACTGAACGTATTCTAATCCCTTCCCTAATAAAGCTTTCCAAATTTCAGGGCCAGACTGTAGGTGTCTAGCTAGCTTGTCAATTTAGCATCAATTAGCTAAAATGTTCCAACCGTTTTTTTCCCCCCCATTTTCCTCACCTGCTCTCTGTCGGTGAAGCACATTCGGTTTTGCTCTCATATTTCCGGTTCGGTGAGGTAAATGCGTTCCCTGATGTGAACCACTTGGAAATTTGTTCACCTGTTATAGAGTGTTTCATGGCGAAGGTCACCTTTACACCACTTGTCCTGAACCAATAAAGGCACGCAGTGGGAACTGGTGGCAAAATTGAAGTTGCTAGGCAACCGACCCTCCAAGCATAGAACAGTTGAAAGTTTCCCGCAAAAACAGAGCTGTGAGGGGTTATTTCTGTTAAAGATATTAGGTATTTTTTGTTCTCACAAGTTAAAAAATGTACATATATATACATACATATATATATACATATATATACATACATATATATATATATACATATATATATATATACACATATATATACATACATATATATATATATACACATATA